TAGTTGCTTTATCTAATGCTGTGCCGTGGAGGAGGGAGGGTGGTACTTTTTTATAAGCGTTTTACGGCGCTTGCAACTGCATAATGTCATATGAGTGCGCGGGCACATTAAACTATCAGTTTGGTAGGAATTAATTAAGAATTTTGCCCTGGTGGCGGCCGGAGCCCACTTTCATTGATTTTAGGATCTTTAACTTGCGCAGCTTGTACACGTGACCTCCGATATTTTTTGCCCTTCTCGGAGAAGGCTAGGTATGAGATCTTACCTACCATAAGATGAGGGGTGTGGCTGAAAGACAGCACTAAGAAGGAACCAAGGAGTAGCAGTAGAAAGGTCGCCGAAAGAGTGAGGAGCCCAGAGGAGGGGACTGTCAGGTTTTAAACCCAGGACTTAATGAATGAAAGGCGAACACCGTACCTCTAGACCACGAGAGCCCCCGGGGGATACTTTATTTAATGGTGTACCTGCTGGGGAGGGGGGTGTTATACTGTGCTTTATCTCGTGGTGTGCCGGGGAGAACAGGGGGTGGGGGTGGGGTTACTCTATCTAATGGTGTGCGGTGGGGGTGGGAACATACGAGTAATTCCGTGACAAACCCACGAATGTTCTGGTACAGGTTTTACTCAATGAGGACTCGAAGATGCGCTGTTTTGGGGCATAACTTAATCATTCAAACAGATTTTTCAGTTGTGTTTGCTTTACCTGAATCTTTTAAAGCAACTCAGCAGCATGCACATTATGCAATATGCAAGAATAATGGGCACAGATTTAAGACCTATAAAACGAGTTGATAGGTAAATGGCGTCAAGATCTTTGCGATGAGTTGATAAGAGACTGGTATAAACTTGCGTTTAAAGACTTATACTCTGAAGTTGATTTGCAAGGACGCTTGGACTTTGGATATCATGTTGTGGGCATGTTTTCGATGACATAATTCACCTTATGCTGTGTACGTTTATTGTTTTGTGAGCATGCGTTACCCGTCCTCTACCCCCATTCAGTGTACACTAAATACAATCTAAACCACACCATACGAGACTAATAATTTGTATCCTAATGTGTTCACATTGATGCAAAACTGCCTTATTAACTCACCCACCCACCAATGTTACACCCACTCGCATCGTGTGCTCCCTCATTTTGCTTCCATTGCGGAGTGAGATATTAATTAAGCTTACTTAATGCACAGTCGCGCGCTCTCAAACGCATATACATTCACATACGCGCGCGCACACATACATGCACACACATACACACAGGCACACACAATACGTACGCATGGGTGCATTGTTAACATATATCACACCAAATGCACTCTCACACAATAGTATGCAGTTGACGCCTGGGTCTATGTCTGTAGAGACCAAGATTTTAAAACACATTCACATATACAATTACACACAGAAACAAACTCTCTCTCTCTCTCTCTCTCTCTCTCTCTCTCTCTCTCTCTCTCTCTCTCTCTCTCTCCCTCCCCCTCTCTCTCTCTCTCTCTCTCTCTCTCTCTCTCTCTCTCTCTCTAGCACACGCACACGCACACGCACACGCACACGCACACGCACACGCACACGCACACGCACACGCACACGCGTATACAGCAGCGTAACTCCTTAGAAGAGATGAATTTTTAGAAAGAATAACAAAACATACTCTACTTTTGTTCAACTTTGTGGCAACACATCATTGATTGTGATTGTGAAATTGCGAAAAAAAAAGATTGAAAAAGACAGTTAAAAAAAGCAACAACAACGAACAAAAAAAACACGACCAACAACAATATTCTTTTTCTACATCGTGATACCACTTATTGTACGGAATAATATAATTTGTCATGTCTGTGAGCTGCATCAATGATTATAGTGTGAGAATGGGCGAGGGGTAATATGGAAAGATGAGACCCAGCCTAAAGAGGCAGCCATCTCGAACCCTAACCATTTAGTATTTAGCACATATGATAACTCAATTCAATTTTAAGTATTGAAGTAGATTATATTGTTTATTCTATTTTATGGGTTTTAAGAAAAAAGATACACGCATCAAATTTCTTCCTCGAAGTAGACCCATAAATATACAGTTAATTCAACGATGTATTTGAAGTTATATACATACCAGTTAATTCTAATCACAATATTGCGCAATGTCTTTAAATGTATCTTTGTCCCTTTATATCCCCCCGTTCTAACATAGAATGTAATCGAATTTTCAGAGTACGCTAGCCAGACTGTGGCCAGCAACCAGGCCAATTCTATGTACGGCCAGGGGGACTTGACGAGAACCAATTACCAGACCCCGGTATTTCATCATCATTATTATCGTTGGCGAGCTGTTTACACATTCTAGGCCCTAAATTTTCAATTTTTAGAAATGCAGTTTTTTAATCTGTGGTATCAGTTGTATGTGTCCCTTAAATATTTTGTCGAAATCCACATCCTAAATGTTGAAAAAAGCAAGAAAAGAGACAAGCTCTAATTTAAGTACAATTGTTTAAAAGAATGAAACGGTTTTATTTTTCTATATCCATAAAATTTTGCCTTCTGGGGCTAGGACGCTTGAGCAGCTCGCCAACTTTATGATCTTTCCTTTATCCATCTTAGCACCCTACTTAGGTCAACAGGACAGCACAGCAGAACCAAAATGGCAGTCAGCTGTTGGCTTACAGGAACCGAATTATTTCAATGTTTTTCATAATTCAGAGATTCAGGGGGTGTAGTGAAGAAATTGCTTTCATTTTGCTTTTTATCTAAGCGACGTAATTCAATTATATTTCACATACAGAGACGTAGTACGTCAGCGTCTAAATTTAGAGTGGAACATTCTATTTCTAAGCCTCCACTAAAGGCGGATGTGTCAGGCCGGTAAAAGCCGGCATGGCTCTACAGTGAGAAAGCCAGTAAAAGCCGGTAAC